AGACGAGTATATATGGATTCATGTTTGGTTAGTCTGTGAAGACAGGAGTCATCGGAACAAAATTTTTTGGGGGGATCTCATTATGAATTCAGAGTATTTTGTGCATGTTTGCACTGTATAAATAGTGAATGAAAAGGTAGAGAGACCCAGATATTTGATGTATTGGACCTAGAATGGGGAGGATAGAGTGGAGTTTATATGATGTTTTTGCAGTTTGAGGGTTTCGGCGGTATTTTTTCGAGTTTTTTCTGGTTTTTTCCGAGTTTGTTCCGTGTTTTTCTCCGGAATTTCCAGGATTTTTTCGAGCTTTTTTCATAACTCTCCGGGATTTCTGCGATGTTTTTGCAGTGTGGTGGGTTCTGCGGGGGTTTTTCCGGAGTTTTTTTTCGGTTTTTTACTGCTCTTTTCCTGGATTTTTTCGGGGTTTGACGGGATTTCTCACAATTGTCAGGCTATTTTTTTCCGTTGTTTTTGCAGTTTTTTTGTATGTTTTTTCCAGAGTTCCATTTACCCAGGTAATGGATTAGGGAAAGGGCAACGTATAGCTACCTGCTGCCATTTACCCAGGATGTGGATTAGGGAAAAGGCAACGTATAGCTACCTGCTGCCATTTACCCAGGATGTGGATTAGGGAAAGGGCAACGTATAGCTACCTGTTGGCATTTACCCAGGTAATGGATTAGGGAAAGGGCAACGTATAGCTACCTGCTGGCCTTTACCCAGAATGTGGATTAGGGAAAAGGCAACGTATAGCTACCTGCTGGCCTTTACCCAGGTAATGGATTAGGGAAAGGGCAACGTATAGCTACCTGTTGGCATTTACCCAGGTAATGGATTAGGGAAAGGGCAACGTATAGCTACCTGCTGCCCTTTACCCAGAATGTGGATTAGGGAAAAGGCAACGTATAGCTACCTGCTGGCCTTTACCCAGGTAATGGATTAGGGAAAGGGCAACGTATAGCTACCTGCTGCCCTTTACCCAGGATGTGGATTAGGGAAAGGGCAACGTATAGCTACCTGTTGGCATTTACCCAGGTAATGGATTAGGGAAAGGGCAACGTATAGCTACCTGCTGGCCTTTACCCAGAATGTGGATTAGGGAAAGGGCAACGTATAGCTACCTGCTGGCCTTTACCCAGGTAATGGATTAGGGAAAGGGCAACGTATAGCTACCTGCTGCCCTTTACCCAGGTAATGGATTAGGGAAAGGGCAACGTATAGCTACCTGCTGCCCTTTACCCAGGATGTGGATTAGGGAAAGGGCAACGTATAGCTACCTGCTGCCCTTTACCCAGGTAATGGATTAGGGAAAGGGCAACGTATAGCTACCTGCTGCCATTTACCCAGGATGTGGATTAGGGAAAGGGCAACGTATAGCTACCTGCTGCCATTTACCCAGGATGTGGATTAGGGAAAAGGCAACGTATAGCTACCTGCTGGCCTTTACCCAGGTAATGGATTAGGGAAAAGGCAACGTATAGCTACCTGCTGCCATTTACCCAGGTAATGGATTAGGGAAAAGGCAACGTATAGCTACCTGCTGCCCTTTACCCAGGTAAGTGG